TCTCTTTGGATTTGAGACTTTAGTCTTTGCAACTTTACAGATCTTCTTTATGCACCAAGAGCTTGTAACACTTCAAAGAGAAAGGAAAAATTTAAATCACATCATGACCCCTTCCCAGCAAACACAGAATGTTCCCCTAACGTTAGTTTTTGGTTCCCAGAACGTTATTATAACGTTCCCCTAACCTCTTTACTCCGATATGATCACCCCGCTGTACGTCAGTAATCATTCAGCACACTCGTGACCCAGTATAGTATAAGCGGCATGGAAATTATCTGTATGGACGCCTAATCAGTATTATAAAAACCATATCTTGTTTTTATAGGTTGTTTAGGTAATAATCTGAGCACATCAACCATCATATGTAAGATTAAGTAAGATTAAATCTGTCCATTAATATGTAAGATTACGGAGTACCCAGATTTTAAATTTCTTCAGCACCAAATAAAAATGACTTCAACACAATGTATGGTTCATAAAATATGACATTATTCACAGAACAGGTGAAAGCACGTGCTGGAGAATAGTGATGGGAAGTTCGGCTCTTTTCAAAGATTCAGCTCTTTTGGCTCGGCTCCCTTAGAAGAGCCTGCTCTTACGGCTCCCAAATGGCTCTTTATTTAGTATCACTCTGAGCCTTCATGAGTGAATGGTTTGTGTGTTGGTAAGCAATTTTTTATTCAGTGTTTTCATAAAAGCATTATTTTTATGCTTTTTTTTTTTCGTTACAAAAAAATACACAGATACTATTATTTAACATTTTAATAAAACTTTAATTGAACAATTGAACACAGATAAAGCTTTTATGAAAACACTAAATAAAAAATTTCTTACCAACACACAAACCATTCACAATTGCTAAACTGGCCTAAAATAGAAGGCTCCGGCTGAAGATTCGACTCTCCCCGACGGGAGTCGGCTCTTCTCGTTCGCTACAAAGAATCGGCTCTTAGAGCCAGCTCGTTCGCGAACGACACATCATTACTGGAGAAGCGCGTGCAGATCAGAGGCGCGCAGTAAATAAAGATGAAACAAACCCACGAATTTATGATTTCTGTTATCACTCTACGCATAACCCTGGCTTAATTAAATTTAAATCGCGTTTTGATTTATCTAATTTCTGTATTTTAATAAATGCTGCATTAAACGAATTTCAGGGTTCTGTATAGGTCATTACACGTTAACATCTGCGACATTTTCATTGGAAAAATAGTTACAGGGTTATAAAAATAACCTGAGAATAATCATAAGGGAACGTTCTGTATAAGTTATTTTTAGGTTATTTTAAAAATAACCACCCTGCAACGTTCTGGGAACGTTATTTTATGGTTGCAAAAAATAACCTAAAAATAACCACTAGGGAACGTTCTCTATAAGTTATTTTTAGGTTATTTTAAAAATAACCACCCTGCAACGTTCTGGGAACGTTATTTTATGGTTGCAAAAAATAACCTAAAAATAACCACTAGGGAACGTTCTCTATAAGTTATTTTTAGGTTATTTTAAAAATAACCACCAATGCAACGTTCTGGGAACGTTATTTTTATGGTTACAAAAAAAAAAACCATTAGGGAATGGTCTCTATAAGTTATTTTTAGGTTATTTAAAAAAATAACCACCCTGCAACGTTCTGGGAACGTTATTTTATGGTTACAAAAAATATAACCTAAAAAGAACGTTCACCTAATGTTAGTATTTGGTTCCCAAAAAAATAACCAAACGGGAACCAAAAACTAACGTTAGGGGAACGTTCTGTGTTTGCTGGTACTCCACCCCCTTGGCCCAACGAAGGTATCCAATGGTGGCTGAAGGTGGTCTTTTCGGTGTGCAAAGTAATTTAATTTAAAATAAGTTCTAATCTGACTCCATTTTATTATGACCTCGAATTTAGGTTAGAATGCAAATTATTGTTGATCATTCATAGGATATTTTAACTAGACATCTGATTGTTCAACTCTTATTTTATATTTTACTCGTTCATTAGGAATCTATGTCACACAGTGTGTCTCACTTCAACCTCACGACCACAAACTCTCCAGTCTGATCATTAGTCAGAGGTTATGACTGCTGTTTAATAGACTGCCTCATGCTTGTCAATCTTTAAATAGTGGTTCTGTTTAGCCCCCTACAGTCACCTATGTAATAACTTAGTTAAAACTCAAACAAAATCAGAGGTTATGGCTAGCACTATGAAATATGCTAATACATCAATAGTATTTTTATCTATTCCCTTATAGTTAATCTAACTATATGACAACTTGAATAAAGCTGAGACAATAACCAGAGTTTATGGCTAGTACTATGAAGTATGCCGAACCATGCTTCCCAGTACTCCAATAGTATTTTGTCTTGCCCCCCATAGTTAATGCAACTGCATAACAACTTAATTAAAGTCAAGCAGTTAGTCAGAAATCTAGAATCTCACCTGATGTGCCCCATGCTCCATCTAACCTGAGATCTTGTATGCACTTAACCCTGGACGCAGATTTGCAGAAACATACGCCTTGACTTAATCTACTTGAGAAAATAATTTCAGAGTAAGTAAGAATAAAATCAAATGTAACAATTTATTATTAGTCAAGTAAATATGTATTATGCCAATTACATAGTCAAATCGAAGATATCAAATCAATATAAGACATCAAATTCTCAAAGACAAATCTAAGAGTAAAAGATGCATACCTGACTTCAGGAAAATACATTTGAACACACTCCACACTATGGGCTCATCTGGCTACAGAAGCGCCCTGATCTTGCAACATTTCCTTAAGTACTCCGACCAAGACAAACATCCTCCAAATGAAGACAGGAACTAACAATTGGAATTTGCATTGATCAAGTCCTAGACTTGGAGAGTTTACACCTTTTGGGGACAGATGGTAATTTGCATGAAAGACACTGGGAGATGACACACCCTCTACAGTAAGCAATCATCTCTCTAAACTCTTAGGATCTGTGTTACCTTTTAGTCTACTTCTTGTAAGATTGAGACCATTGTACCAGTCGCCTTGAGACAATTCAAATGATACCAAGCATGACTGTGAATATCACTTGCATTCATGTAGAACATTATATTATGCTATTGACCATCCTGAGTGAGTGAGCTGAGTGAAGGGAAGGAAGTGGATGAAAAGCAACAAATGAATAGGTGAGAAAGGAGTTTTCCCGCATTTTCTCTCAGTGAGATGTGGAAACAGATGCCTATATGTTAATGCACTGTGTTTGTATATTGTCCGTATCTCAGAAGATCAAAGTGTCTGAGGTTCTTCAAGTCTTACACTGCCTTGGTTTGAATGGACATGATGCCTCTGTTTGCACACTCATTTCTGACACACGCGCAGTACCTTGATCTTTGTAGTTTGCATGCAGGCACTTTGACACACAACTGCACGTTTCCTTCTTTTTTGGTTGAACTAAACCTTAAAGGGTGTATATTAATATTCATATTTTTATTACCTTTATTTTCAGCGTCATTTGAATTTTTAGTTTAAATTAATAAATTAAATCTAAAGTTTATGTCTGCGCCAATAGCCTCATGGCAGTGCGCCGACATATCGTGCCGTTGTGCTTCGGGCGTCCCCAGTTCGAGTCCCGGCTCGTGAACCTTTCCTGATCTTGCCCCCTTCTCTCTCTCCCACTTTGCTTCCTGTCATTTAAAAATGGCAAAAAAATATATATAAAAGGTAAAGTTTAGAAACAAGATGTCCTGCCTTAGGCAATTGCACAGTGAAAATGATCCCATGGCAACGTTATAACCAGTTTGAATGCAGATATCATACAGTAACAAAAACTATGATGATTTTAATCTTTTTAATATTTTAATCAAGATTAATTGTTGAGATTCTATCTTAAAAACTAAAAGGACAGATAAATATCTTAAGAATCTGTGGAATATTAGTAAAATAGTAATCAAATATGTTTATTTTGACTAAATATAGTGTGCTAGTGTGTAAAATAATTGTGAATAGAACTCGTGTCAGCATCAGCCTCAGATGAAAACCTCAGATCAGATGAGCACTGATCATATTACCCTCTGTTTCAGGTGAAATCTTTGAGCTGAAGGCCGAGCTGAACAATGAGAAGAAGGAGAAGAGAAAAGAGGCAGTGAAGAAAGTCATTGCAGCCATGACAGTGGGCAAGGATGTCAGGTTCTTTGACTCGCTTATCACCATTACACAATCAAATATGCAGTCTTACTGCCCATATTGTATAAAAGATGATTTAAGGGCCAGTAATTCTCAAAGTGTGGGCGCACAAGTATTGCAGGGGGGGCGCGGGCCATCAGCAGAAAAAGAAATAAAACGGTAAACAGCCAAAGGACGTAACTTAGAATGGGAGATGGATCGGGTGTGTGAAAGGGAAGAGAAAGCCATAGATGAAGTCGCACTGACCCAGGCAGGTGCTGGTCATTCAAAAGCGAAATGCAGAAAATATGATGAGGCATATCTTGCTCTCGGCTTCACTCACCATGTCTATACCGGATGCTACAGTTGTCGCGTCGCGCTGCAACAGCTCTACACTGGTCGCGACAAAGCGATCGTTGCAAATCATTTTAACTTTGTGTCAGTACGTCATAAATAAAACAAGGCATCAGTTTAAAGGGGGTCATATGATGCGATTTCAAGTTTTCCTTTCTCTTTGGAGTGTTACAAGCTCTTGGTGCATAAAGAAGATCTTAAATTATATTAAGCCTTAAAGTTCTGCATAATTAAGGGCGTGGCCACTTGAGTGACAGGTGGATTGCCGCTGCTGTCCCCACCGTCGAGCTAGGTGGGCGTGGTTTCAGCAACCTGCTCCCGCCTCTTTGCCCATTTTCGATTATCCGGGAGTGACGCGCGGTGACGCGCTGCCAAGATGGCGACAGCCGCCTCCGCCCAATTTTGAGCTTCAAAAACACTCTTCAGAAATCTACGGGTGACATCACGGACACTACGTCCATGTTTTTATACAGTCTATGGGTTTCCTTTCTCTTTGTAGTGTTACAAGCTCTTGGTGCATAAAGAAGATCTGTAAAGTTGCAAAGACTAAAGTCTCAAATCCAAAGAGATATTGTTTATAAAAGTTAAGAGTCGACCACTCCTACCTAAAACGGCTCGTTCTAACCAAGCGGCAACCTCCCGCTCTCTCTCTTGAAGCCAACAAGGAAGTGACTTAAACTGTAATTCATCAACTGGCCGCTAGAGGCTGGCTGCAAAAGGGAGTCAATCCCATAGATTCCCCATGTTAAAATGCCCAACTTTACAGCAGAAAAAAA